CACTCAGGAGATTTCCTGCTGGGAGCCCTTGAGCATCACCACTCTCTCCATATCATGGTCTGGATGTAATTCTTCAAACACAGGCCAAAGCCAATAATTAGCTCAGTGTGTAATTATCTCTTTCAGCACCTCTGCAGTTCAGACTCTGTGAGGAATTTATTTCCTGAAGGGCTTTGGAGGGTTTTGCAAGTACAGAATGAAATTTGTTAACTGTTAATAACTCCCAAATTAGCTCATTTATTAAGGGCTGGAAATAACTCAGCCCTGTCAGCCGGAATCAACAAGTTATCTAGGAATGTAAAGAGGCAAAGAAACAAAAGAATATTTAACCCTTTCTCCAGTCCAAGGCAGGGGGAGGACCAGAGATATCAAAGGATGTCTCAGTTCCTGACTGGGAGGGTAGGGAGGGACTGGAATAGAATTCCCAGAGAAGCTGTGGCTGCCCCTGGATCCCTGGAAGTGTCCAAAGCCAGGATGGAGCAACCTGGGCTAGAGGAAGGTGTCCCTGCCTGTGGAGGGGGTGGCACTGGATGGGCTTTAAGGTCCCTTCCCACCCAAGGTGTTCTGTGATTCCATGGCTCTGCTGGACCCTCTGAGCTTGATCCCCAGTTTATTTTATTTTGGGCTTTTCCCCTTTTGAGCACTGGGTGAGGAATTGTTTCAGAGTTCAGCTCCTCTCCCAGCACAACCCCCAGGTCTGACTGACACAAACTCCACGGTGAGCAATGCCCTGGGATGGCACCAGGAGCTGAGCAGGACCAAACACACAACTGCTGTGCAAATCATTCCTGTTTGGGAGCTGTGGGATGGCACCAGGAACAAACACACAACTGCTGTGCCAATCATTCCCATTTGGGAGCCCTTGGAACAGACCTGCAGGTCTCGTGGATCCAGGAGGGAAGTCCTTGCTGTGCCCTGGATCTCTGCCCCCTGCGGGGGTCACTCCTTTGTCCTGCTCTCTCATGGCCACTGTGCCCTGCCTGGGAATAAATATTGTGTCTTGGAAGCCCTTCTCTAGTCCCTGTGTCACATGTGAGCCCCAGGCAGGCTGAGGGAAGCAATTTAACAGGGGGAAGCATCTCTCAGTGGATTTGACAGGAATATCACATTGACTGGGTGAAATAAGGGCAGCAAATTGACTGCAGGGCTCTGGGGAAAGCTCTGAGTGCTGGGAGTCTAATGGGTTATCCCCAGATACAACCAGAGCAGCTTCAAGGGGCTGCAGCAGCAGTGACTGAGCCAGAGTGTCCCTAATGAGCAGCACAGTCCCCGTGTGACTCACTGAGCAGGACCCTCTGACCCCGCTGGGAGAGCAGTTCTGAGAGCTCCAACTCCCACAAAACTCGAGCTGGGAAGGGGCTGGAGCAGCAGGAGGGGCTGAGGGAGGTGGGGGGGCTCAGCCTGGAGCAAAGGAGGCTCAGGGGGGACCTTCTGGCTCTGCAACCCCCTGACAGGAGGGGGGAGCCGGGGGGGGTCGGGCTCTGCTCCC